TCCTAAAATTGTAAGCGTTTTACTCGCACCTTTTAGGGTACTTCTACACATGCTCCAGTGCTTTAATTAGAGCAGCTCTGAGACTTACTCTATAGCTCTGCCATGTCTCGCATATCGGTGTCCCCATGCTTAAAAATGGTGGCAGGGGTGCTTGAACTAAAGCCTATATGATCAGTGTGAATTCAGTTGCCAAACTCCAGCAGACTTGATTTATCGAGTCTGCTCTGACATGCTGGAATTCCAGTGCGCTGGAGAAGTCTCTGTGCTCAGGTACAGGTGCCCTTAATGTTGTTTTAGCTTAGATTTCAGGGTGTAATATCCTTCTTATAGAGTGCATAGTTGAATATTGTATCTTTTTAGATGATGTGTGGTACCCAGAACAAGGTTCTAATCTTTTTCCTTTTACGTTTACTGGGGCTGTAAAGGGAGATGAGGCAGCTGACATTTTTAGTAGTACATTGAAATACAGTATTTAGCTTCCCTGACCTCTTAAGTTTTTTACGGATATTTTTGTGTTCTGTAACCAAACAGATAGAACTAAAGAAATGCATTTTTGCCCATGTTTTGAGCTTTAGACCCATTTTAGTTTTGCCTGTTGTATTTGTATCCAAAAGAGAGAGAGAAATCTTTTGGCTGTCTAGGCCAGATAGGTGGCACAGAGCCTGTCTGTAGGCTGCATCAATTCCTGCCTGCCCCCCCACATGCTGGGATTGGGTCCTGGGGGGGTTAGTGTGCCCCAGGATTGGCAGGATCAGGAGCTAGATCCAGTGCCCAGGGCTCCCCATGGATTGGTTTGGGAATCTGGCAGTTAGGAGCGCAATAGTACTGCTCCCTGACCCTAAATTTCTGGACCCGTGGGGAGCCCCACAGGCCAGATAACACTATGAAAAGGCCTGATCTGTCCCGATGCTTAAAACTATGCATGTCTAAACAACATACACTAAAAATGGAGAACAACACCCAAACTGAAATTTGTCACCTGTTCGAAGGAGTTTTTCTCTTACCTTTTGTTCCCAGAGACTTTAGTTATTACAGGCTATCCATAAAATATTCTGTAGTACACAAGTTTCTCTTTTTATATTTATGAAGCTCATCCAATACATGTATTACTTTTTTAATATGGTACCTACACAGAAGTCAATGTTAATGACCAGTTTGAATTATTTAATGTAATATAATCCTTTCAAGATTTTAAATAGCAATGTAGTCATGCTTTTGTAGTAGGGCATTATTTTCTCAAACTGTGAGATTACCTCCTTACAAAGTCTTTTGAAGTCTCCTAAAGCAGTGAAAATAAATTTTAGAATGCGTATTAAATAGCATTATTGGAATGGCAGTAACTTTCACTGATATTGGCTAAAAAGTGTAAAATACTTTAAATAACCTCAGTAAATGGGTAATATTGTACATCAGTAACTGGTTATTTTTATTCATTTGAAAGGAGTAAGAAAGCAAGCCAAAAAGTTACCATTATCTAAGAGATGTAAAATGCATAAAATTATATTTAAAATAATACAGATGCATATATTGGGTATATGGAAATTTGAATAGTTTTAGTTGAGTTCTGCGTAGTGGATACACTCCTAAAGTAAATGTCTCTGGTTTATTTCTTCATCATATGATATTCCTTACAGCACTGAAGGATTCAGTCTGCAAGATCCCTATTTCATTCCTTAGGTGTGCAGTATAGTATATATTTTCCTACAATTTCTTTATCTTCCCAGAGTTGTCTATGTGTTTGGTCTGCCAGTCAAAGAACCTCCTACAGATGTAACACCTACTTTCCTGACCACAGGAGTTCTCAGTACTTTACGCCAAGCTGATTTTGAGGCTCATAATATTCTCAGGGAGTCTGGTAAGCATTTGTCCCTAATCCAATCCGGTATACTGGTTGCAGGAATTAGTGCTGTTTCTCTTCAAAACAACATTACTTAGTAAGATAGTATACTTTTCTTTTAAACACTGAGAAATGCATGGCATAAATTGCTAGATACAATCCTAATGGAATGAATTAAACAGAATCTCCACTTTTTCGCTGTACAGAAAACACTGCTGAAAGCAATTTAATGTCATTGTATGATAACACCTTAATGTGATTTCAGGTTTTGGTAACCATTTCCTTCTCTTGCACCTGGCATTCCATTTTTCTCTGAGGATGTGTGCGCACCTTTTCAAACTGTAGCCACCAAGATTTACTTTATAACCAAATATTCAATGTTTAAGAGGTGCTATAAAACACTATACTGGTAACTAATAAATACGTTTAACTAAACCCCTTTATCACCGCTTTCCTTAAGGTTATGCCGGAAAAATCAGCCAAATGCCAATAATTCTGACGCCATTGCATTTTGACCGAGACCCCCTTCAGAAGCAGCCTTCCTGTCAGAGATCTGTGGTTATTCGAACCTTTATTACTAGTGACTTCATGACTGGTATTGCAGCAACTCCTGGCAATGAGATTCCAGAAGAGGTAATATTTCTTTTTTTTTTAGTTCTGTTTTTCTGGTGTGGCTTGGGAATGTGGAAAAGGCCTTCAGTTGTCTTTCTCCCTCTCCTCTCCTCCCAGCCCCAGGTGATTTTATATCTTAAGTTTTTAGTAAGTACTCTTCAGTATTTGACAGCTGCTTATTTTGTCTGATTTTTATGCTCTGTTTTGGAGGAAACCAGTAATATTTTTGAGGTTGAGTGCATAAAGCTAGGTGATTAAGTCACTAATTATCAGTAGCCTACCTTTTTCAAAACTGAGTGTCCCTAGTACCAACTGATCTGACTTGAAAGCTGCAGATACTCGGTTCTTTCAAAATGTTGGCTTCTATTTAAGTGCCTAATCAGGATTTAGGAGCCCAAATTACAAGCTTTTCCAAATTTTGGTCATTCCCATAATGTGTTTGAACTTTTGTTTTTAAAATGTGCTACATGTGAGTAGTGTTGTCACCCTTACTTTGAGGTTTCACTTTCTTAAGGATCTGTCATTATTTCATTGATAATTCACACTTAAAACATTGTTTATAAACTCTTTCTGTCTAATTAGTATAACATAACTCTATCTGAGTGTAAACTATTTAATGTTCAGAAAGGCCTTTTAAATGGGCTTTCAAGAAGAGATGATTCAAAAGTTTCCACTTTTTTAACTGTTGGAATGTACAAAATTAAAGTTTGTCTTCATTGGGAGTATAATTCTCTAATATACTCTTGAAAGGTGCATTTTATGTATAGCTTGGTTGTCACAATACTGTGTAGTATCACTAATAAAATAGCATTAACTGTGGATGAAATGTATACATATAGGAAAAATGTAATTGCAGTTGCTTAAAGTCTCGTGGGCTCCAAGCAAGCTGTGCTGAGTAGTTGCATCATTCTGTATCTTTTTAATGTGCCACATGCAGTAAGAAAACAGTGAGATTTAAAATATGACTTTATGGTCTCTGCTTCAAATTGTAGAAATTACATGGAGACTTTTCTCATTCTGCAAAGACAATAAGACTTTCCTATAGAATTAACAAATTGCTGTTTTAATACCCAGTATGGAACACTCCTGTTGATAACTAGATATGAACTCCAGAGGGCAGGTGACTCCCAATGGAGAAAAAAATTTTCTTCTTGAAACTACCCTGTTCCAACTGAAGTTATTTATTAATATACAGAGTTCACTACCTTACTAAGCCTTCTGTTTTTATGGGATACTGGGATTTACTGGAGGTAATGGATGAAGAATACATTTTATATTTTGTAGTTTGCTCAAAGTTAATTCTGTAGTGTATTACAGGTACCTAAATTGCTACTGTGTAATATTTTAAAAATTACTTTTCTAGTAAGAAAAGATGCATCCATTTTTATTGCTGGTTACAAAGTGGAAGCCTTAATTGTAGGATGGCCACAAATTAAGTGCTGGGATAATTTATTTGGTTCTTACTAATAATAGTTTGTAGGTTTCTCTGTTTTGCCTGCAAACTGCCTTAGAAAAGAAAATTTTTAAACATTTTAAATGTTTCCATTTTTCTTGGGTACCATTTTTTCCAAAGTCTGTTGCATCAAGTATTGTTTTTTTTTTTTCTCTTAATCACAGGTTGTGTTGAAAATGGTGACAGAAATTAAAAAGATTCCTGGTATTTCTCGGGTGATGTATGATTTGACATCAAAACCGCCAGGAACTACTGAGTGGGAGTAATTAACTTTTTTTTTCTATTAAAGTACTGTATGCAGTTTAAATTATATCAGAAACCATTCCCAGTGTTGACATGCAGTACTGTGAAAAGTGACTGGAGCTGCTACATCACATCCGATTCCTCTCCTGGAGCATAAATCTGCAGTTAAGAGCTGTTGGGCATAACTAAGTGGGGCTGAGGATTTGTACGGGTAAATAATCATGGCAGCATTGCCTGTGCGCAGATGAATTCATATTGCTTTTGCCTTTTTGTCTTACTGATTCTCCCTGTTTTTCATGTGTTTTATTGTTACTGTCATTTCAATGTCTCTTTGTTTTTGTACACTGTGTAAGGGACAGTTTATTTACTTTTAACAAACTCATTGTTACGGCCTAAAAATGTAATATGGATACTTAATGTGACCAACTGCTTTTGAACAGATTTATTATAAATAAATATTTTGCCAAATGGAATAGTGGGTACTGTTGAGTTGTGGAATTAATGTGTATCTGTTTGTTGTGTACTGTTAAGCCTGTTATGTACTGTTTGAAGTATTAGCCCATGGCAATAATATTGAATTCCAAAAGAGTGATGCTAGAGTAATATGAAATGACCTTCCATCTTTCTGTGCTCACTCCTTCCATTGCTCTTTGTAAGATTAAACATGTATATAGGTGACAAACATGTCTCATCAAACTTTGATATACACTTAACTTGTATATACATATATAAAATTGCAGACAATATTTAAGTCTGCAGTGTCCAGGAAAAATGGTAATAATGGGAGTGAAATTTTAAATGGCTTGTCAGAAACCCCAGATCTTTAAATCATAGCTTAAGTTTTCAGTTTCAAACCCCTACACAATGATCAACCCCCTGTTCCATGGCTTGGCCAAGTGCTTTTGTTTATATTTTGACGTTTGTTTCCTAGAAATTTTTGTTTTTTATGGGGAAATATTTGTATATGTTGTATCTAGTTTTTTTTGGGTTGTTTTTAAAGATTAGCATCTCATTTAGTGTAGAGTTAATTCAGTAGAGGTGATTTAGCCAGTCAGAATACAGATTAATGCAGTCCTTTATGTACTGTGGTTTATTTAGTAAAGTCAGCAATAACTTGTATAAAGGGTGTGATTAACATCAAACCCTACCCGTGCTTCTCTAATATGTCTCGGCTAAAAGTCAAGTTTTTTGATCGCTCGGGTCTAGTTGCAGTCCTCTTTTTGTAAGTGTTTATTTTTATAGCTATGGAAGGTCCTGACCTGAGCAGCTTTACTAGATACGTGCAGGGCTAGAACCTTAATTACGTAGTCAGGTTCATTTTCTTGAATGACCATTTTTTTTTTTAAACAGTTGTATTTCATTCAGCTGTGAAATAACCTTATTTTTATGGGGTTTGGTTATATTTGTTGAATATAGTCTATAAGGCATGAGAATTCATAAGACATTTTTCCTTATATAAATTCTTGAACTGGAATAATAGTGGGTAAATGTTTAACATAATATTCTGATTGCACAGTTTCTCCATTTTTAGTATTGGTGCACAAACATACTGTAAAAAATCAGCTTTTCATCTTTATTTTTTAGAACAAGTCAGCTGTACCTAATGTACTCTTGCCTAAGCCAGCTGAGTGTTGTGCATCATGCAGGGTGGTATATCATTGCAGCTTTTCCAGCTTTTTGAAAATTCTTGTGGCTACTTGACTTAGATACAACCGGAAGGAAGGCAACAGGCTTTAGAGACCAGAGCATATGATTTGATGTCCTGTCCCAACTCTGCTACCAGCATCTTCAAAAACCACAGGGAAGTTGTGTAAACTTAACTTCCAACGTGCTTCAGTTGTCTCACTTGGATATAATAAAACACCCATTCTTCCAGAACAGTTAAGCTCTTTAAATGGAAACTGCTGTGTAGGTGAGGTATTATATAATTACTAACTTTTATTTTGTATATATGTAATGTAACATTATCAGAATCTGATCTGTAAAAACTCAAATTAGAGTAATTTGAATGACTAAAAATTAACAGATATTCAGTGTGACAAAATATTTTAAACCTTTTATGGTTCTATTCAAAACAACCAGTCAAACTCTCTGGTAGTTGAATTTAAAAAAAAAAATGATGAAATTGTCCTTGTACTATATTTTTAACTTTTTGAGGATGGTTATTTTCATGATTGGTACTGTCTCATGCATAATGTGTTACAAGCACAAGTAGGACATTCACAATTTGGTGTGCAGTAGAGGGTACGTCTTTAATTACATATCCTTCATTGCTTATTGTGAGTAAACTTGCTAGTATTGCAGCTGCCACCAGCTCTGTGAATGCCCTGCTAAATTAGACTTTGCCAGCAAATAGGGGAAAATGAGGAAGGATTATTATCAAAATTAGAGAATCTCTCTTAATTTAAGAGTAAGGCTTTTTCTCACTTGTGTGTGTGTGTATAATATATTATGAGACTATATATGTATATGTAGCCTCATAAGGCAGTTCAGAGACCTATATAATACACAGTTCTATGTCCATAGCACTTTCATCTGACTTCACCCTTAAGTGTTTGACAGAATATTTGAACAGATTATTTCTAATGTTTGCTGCATGTCAGATATTGGTAAGTCAAACTGTCATAAGAGTTTAATCTCAACTACAGGTATAGTATATATCCCTGTATGCAGTGCGTGTATTAAAGTTGGTACACTTTGATTGTGGTAGGTTGCTTTTCAGGTCTTCATTAATAAAGTGGAGCTAGACAACAATCCCCATGCTTTTTCAGGAATATTTTTTTCCCCCTTTTAAAACTGAAAAATAAATACTCAAGTTCTTTAGGTCAAAATACTGCACTATAAACCAAATGTCTTATCAAAATAAAATTCCTGAGGCTTAAAATATTCCTGCATTTTTGTGCTGTACACTTCTGAAGCATTGGGTTATTTTTAGTGAGGTTGACATGGGTCCTCCCAACAGTTCTTGAATATATTTTATGGAATCCACGTATATACACGGCCTAATGGCGGAGAGGAACATAACACTTTATCACAAAGTTGAAAATAAATTTATGGAATAGCTTACCAAAACCATAACTGTAGCTGCCTCGTTCACTTCAAATCTTCAGAGAGACATGTCAACATTTAAAGAGGAATTTGTATTTGGGTACTTTCCATCATTCTCAATTTTTAAGATTTTCTGCTTGTGAAATTATAAAGTACTGTGAGCCTTAATTTTTATCCACAAATAAAACTATTATGTTTAAATATTTGTGTGATTTTATTTTTTAGGTCTTCGAAGTAAGAATTTTATTGTGAGTGGACCATTTATTTTGAGTGGCAGGGGGGGAAAAACAGCTATGAAAACTACATTTTTTACAGAAGACTTGGCACGGGGTACATCTCTTCTAAGGCCAACGCCTTTTGTAAGATGCATCAGATTTCTTTCAGTTATTTGTGGCTAACTGCTAATAGTCGCATTCTGAGTGAGCACTTGGGTTAAAAGCATAATATAAATTAGTCCTGAATTTTCCAATAGAATTAGATATGAATCGACTCTCACCTGTTAGTAAGATTGGTAACATTTTCATATTGCTTTGTAGATTCTCAAGGGTGAAATTCCAGTTACAGTTGTTTGTAGTAAAAATTAGTTGATGGCGCCACCCTGATCTTGCTCAATTATGAATATCTAGTGAACAGTCTATGAATTTAATAATTCACAGGATGAGTTCTTCATGTAGATAGTCCCCTGGGGTATAGGAAGGAGGGACTTTGAAGATGATTGAAATTATTCTGCACACAACATGCATCTCCTCATGCAATTTTAAGCATTTGCTGTGACCAGCATTAAATAGCACAGATGAACATAGAGCATTTGATCATTTCTCTCTCTCTCTCTTTAGAATGAATTATTTTAAGGCATGCATGCTGTGAATCTATTTATGTAGCTAGCATACAAGTATTGATCATTCATTTTCCAATGGCATAGTATCTCCTAAAATGTATCTTGGAGGCAGGAGGTGTGAAGAATCCTGCATAGATTTCAATCTGTAGTTCCAGTGGCACCATAAATGTTTCAAACTTTTTTTTAAAAATAGGCAGTTCACTCTGATTTATGTGATAGAAGACCTGTACCCTGAGGAGGTTACAATGTAACCAGTGCTTAGACCACTGAGTCATTCCTTCCAAGATTCCTTACAAAAACTTCTCTGCCTTACTGTCCTTGTATGCCCTCAATTACCAATTGTTACTTTATTGGTACCAGTGCTACAAGAAAACTACTGTGCTCTGCAAACTAACCCTTTACCAAGGTATTCCTAGACGGAGGAAGGACTGTGTGGTCTAAAGAATAACAAAATGGTGTCAACACAATTGTAGGAATGACTTGTAACCATACAATTCTTCATATCGTTTTGTTTTCTAAGGAAATCTCCTAAATTATATGTGGATTGTTTAAGAGTTGAAGATTTGTTTCTAAAAAGATATAAAAACCAATCCCAGGTGCCTTAAACTTGTATCACATTTTTATGGGATCAGTTGGTAACTATAAAGGCAGCATCCTCATCTATAAACTGGCTGTAATAGGCAAATGAAAAGTTAAATTCTGTCACAAAACCACTGAGCAGGAATACAAAATAAAGATATGTTTGTGGTTCCTTGGTTTACATAGAGATGAGTAATTTAGAAAGTGTTGAGAAATGTTTTATAATGGGGATTTCAGTAAGTTTGATAGTAATGGTTTGCAAACTTGGTAAAAATCATGCAGTAGGGCTTTCTTCTTGTGTATAATATATTCCTTGGTTTATAAAATGTGCTTCTTGTTAAATTATCCCCTTTCCTTATGAACAGTACTGTGAGAACAGTGATTTCAGTATGTAAATCTTCATTTCATTCAGCACTTGCCTGTGCTCAGTAGCTTGTTAGGTATAAGCCTGCCTTCAGCTACTGTATGCAGGTTAAAATTTAGTGTTAGGGCTTCTGTTTACTTGAGATGCAGACCGATACATTCTTTCTACTTGTCTACACTGTTATGGGTTTTTTTCTTTATTGAAAAGTTTACAACTTAGGCCTGTGATGTGGGTCAGAATATCAATATCCTGATGATCCAGAGGGCTTTGCCTTGAGGAACCTGTTTTTAAGCAAACCTTCGGAAAGTACTAAAACCAGCGAGTGGCTGAAGCCTGGAACACCTGGAATGTTTTGCGTCGGCTTGATTCTCGGTTCTGTGAATTAGGCTGTTGTTGCCTGCGGCTACCCGCTTTCTCCACCCTTCCTTAAGGAAATGCTGAGTAAGAGGAGAGAAATTCCCCACTGGTGCCTGCCCTGAAGAACAGTTTTTAGTGACTCTATGAAGCTGTTGTCTTTGGGTTGACTGTCATATTTTGGAGATGAAAAATCACAAGAGCTGTTTACTGTCTGCTTGTGATGTAGACCAACCTGAGCTGACAAACACCTTTTACTTACATTTTTTTTTCGTTACTTCAGCAGTTGTCTCGTTGTGAAGAGGGTTTTTTTTCTCATACTGCTACTTATAGTTCTACACTATGCAAAAATTCTTATTGAAAGTCTATACTTCTAACAGCTCCTCTATGCTTTCTCTATCTGTCCATATCAATCTGTTGCCTGTGGTCCTTGAAGATTGTAAATCCTTTGACAGAGGGATGGGGTTTTTTGCTTTAATGTTGTATAGGGCACTCTACTCTAGGGATTCTTATATTACCAATAAAAATTCAATAAATAAATATTTACTGCCAATTTATTTTTCTGGCTCCAGCATAAGGTTGTAAAAATTGATTTCCTTCTCTTGCCCATCCCTAAGCGGTATTCCCCCACTAGCAGCTTTTTCTGACATACTTTTGGGAGTTGTGCTGTGGGGGGGAAACAGTGGGAATATGTAACTGGGCGTACTGACATGCATGCACACAGTATTAGAATACATTGTTCTTGGCATCTCTGGCACCTCTACACACTACATTGATGCTGCCATTAATGTGCCAGATCCCAGCATAAATGGAAAGGGATACAAATGCACCTCATTTAAGGTACCATAACATGGGAAACAAACCATACAAATGTCCCACATGTGGAACATTTTTATGGCTGGCTTGTTTTGGCACCTTAAATTTTAGTGTGTGTCCAGGGTCAACCATCAGCTAATCGTGAGTCCTGAGGCCTAGACTGCACTGGGCCTACAACAGCCCCAGGACCTATAATCAGTTGATTGTCAACCTGGGGCAAAGGGAAGGGGAGTTGAAAGGCCTCTGCCACCAGGATCCTCAAACCCTGTGCCTGGCAGCTCTGATGTGGCTGGCATGAGCTTCATATTGAAATTATTTGAAGAACTTTTGACCCAAGTACTCTTTCCTGCCAGGGCAGGGGGTCGGACTAGATGATCTACTCAGGTCCCTTCTGACCCTAAAAACTATGAAACTTCCCCCACTAGCCTGCTCTTTGGAGTCCCCAGTGGGGAAAATCCATAGGCTTCCCACACTGGAAGCCTCCAACCCCCTGTACCTGGCAGCCTAACCAGAGCTGCCGGATATTGGATTTGACAATTGGTCTATCTTCAGCCCTGTACAGCTATGAGTCTCAAACTGGACCTGGGACTCAGCTAATTGTTGGCCCTACAGTGGAGCACTTGGCTTTCAAACTGCCAGAGCAGGGAGAGCCTGGGATTACTGTCTCGGGCCCCCCTTCACTGGCAAGTAGAAATGACATAATTTGGATCTGACTCTTGATCCCAAAATTGTACCTCCTCCCATACACATGTGGCATGGCATAGGAGGAGAAGTTGTTCACATCAGGAATCTGATTCTGTGGCATGATGAATGTGTGCTAGGGGGCATAGCTGTTAAACTGTTACAAGTGAAGGTCTTGTTGCACAGTAATTTTGGGCGACTTTTGGAGCGCTTAACATGTGGACTGTCCACATGTTAACACCTTAAAGTGGCTGAAAGCATGTATTATGCAGCTCAGAGTTAGGCCACTCCAGGGCCAGACTATCTCTGCACAATCTTGCTCCTATTCCATTAAGGCATGGCTGCTCCCCACAGGTGCATCACTTGGGCTGAAGGTGTGACTGCTCCAAATTAGCACTAGGTTGGTTAACATTTGTGAGACTCGCAATGTAAGGTGAAATTGTTCACGGATAACACTGAGTTTTGGGGGAGCGTGGTCATGCTTGAAGATTAGGCTGAAGATACAGGCGGGCCTAGACAGGCTGGCAAGTTGGGCAGATTGGAATCAGATGAAGTTCAACATTGAAGTGTAAACTGCTCCATCTGGGGATGAACAATCCCCAACATACTCACAGGTTTGGTGGCACGAACCTGACTAGCACCGCAACTGAAAGGGACCTCGGGGTAAAAATAGACCATAGCATGAACATGAGTCAGCAGTGCAATGCTGTAGCCAATACTCTGGTGTGCGTAAACAAATGCATCTCAAGCAAAACCAAGCAAGTGATTTTTCCATTTTATTCTACATTGGTGAGACGGCAGCTGTAGTACCGAGTCCAGTTCTGCAGTCTTGGGCACCACACTACAGCAAGGAGACGGAAAAGCTTGAGAGTCCAGGGAAGAGCCACCTGTATGATCAAAGACTTGCAAGACAAGCCACACAAGGAAAGACTGAGGGACTTGGGCCTCTTCAGCCTTAAAAAGAGAGGGCTGAAAGGGGGCTTAAAGCAGTTTACCACTACATCAGGGGACTATATCAAGGGCTTGGTGAGCAACTGTTCACCAGGGCACCCTTGGGGAAAATGAGGAGTAATGGCCGCAAACTCCTGGAAGACAGTTTTAGGCTTAACACTAGGAAAAACTTCTTAACAGTCAGGGTGTCCAGACCGAAATAAGCAGAAGTGGTGCAATCACCTACCCTGGAAATCTTCAAGAGGAGACTGGACGGTCACCTCACTGGGGTCACCAGACCCCAGCTGTCTTTCCTGCCCAGTGCAGGGGGCCTGGACCCGATGATCTTGCAAGGTCCCTTCCAGCCCCATACAATCTATGAACCTATGAAAGAAGGACCTGAATTTGTTTTGTTTTACTGCCTAGTTTCCTTAAGTGAGTTTTTTGTGGTACTATCTTGAAAAGGGTTTTTATTTAATCATTTTTGTTATAGAACGATGAATACTCATGTTGATTAAAAATGTTTTTAGCTGATATAATTTGAAGTAAATCTTTAGAATATGATCCTAAATCTCCATTTCCTAAAGAATCAGCAAAGACCCTGAATAGCTCCCCATTGTTAGCTCTAGTTTTGATCTATA